GGTCAAACATGATGCCAGTATGTATCTGTCTGAACTTAAGGACCTGGGCTTTTACTGACCCCTCACTGGCACTTCACTAACCATAATGCACCACTTCACACAGGCCAAAGGCTCATTGGCTAAGGGCCACAGTGTCTATTTCTGGTTTCCCATATGGCTGAATAATCACATGCAAGTAAGATGTTGCCATATACTGTCTTAGTGCTGAATCTTGAAAAGGCATTGAGTACATTATCTGTGTGACTATGTGTGTGTGTGTTTTGTTTGAGATTTTCTTAATAAGAGTGGCAGTGAGCGTTGGCAGCAGGAAGATACAATGGCAGCTTGATTGTCATCGCCCACGTGTTCTATTTCGAAGCATGGCAGTAGTTTGTAATTTCGGACTAAATGTTGCTTTTCAGCGTTGGACGTTTAAGGAACTTAATAAACTGGAAAACATCCAGTTGGTTCATATCGAAGAGACATTCAATGCTGTACTACTACTGTATGTTTTAGATTGATGGAAGAATCTGGCCAAAGTTACGGCAGTATTTCATAGAATATAATGTTGTTGTTGTTTTTTTGTTTTTTTTTTGGGGGGGGGGGGTAGATCAGCTTAATATTGCAGATAGATTGTAACTTCCATCAATGTAATTGTCTGCATCACTTCCAATCCCCCATGTTTTATATATATATATACTCCCCTTTATTACTTTCCAACCCCGCCATCCTTTAAATTAGTAAACAACAACGCTTAGGCCTCTACTTCCAGCTTATACTTACTATCTACATTTTATGGACACAGTCAATTTTACAATAATTCTATTTGATTTGTTTTTGCTCCTGAACTTCTTCTACTCTCAACCTCTCTGATCATTTTCATGATGTCCATCCGGTTTGCTTCTATATGCCATATCTTTCTAACTGTGCTCTTTCCCAAAAGCTCCCAACATACAACCGATATACTTATTATGGACACAGTATGCTTACATTATTAGTTATCTTGTTATTATTTGTTGTTAGTTGTTATTAGTCCCTTCCTTCAACTCCATTCAACACCTCCCATCTATCTCTTAACACCATCCATATAGGATTTCTATTTGCCATATATATTTCAACTGTACTGTGATGTCTTACAAAAGTTCTGAACCTTTCTATTCTCATTGTTTGTACAGATTGTGAATTGAAAATAAAGAAAATTGCTAATAGTATTATTATATTATTGATCGATTGACTATCACTTTTCAGATTATCCAGTAGTGCTATCTGCAGGGTTAGCTCCAGGTAAATATTGCAATCCTTTAGCCATTTCTGGACCTGTGTCCAAAATCAAGCTACAAATGGACAGTACCAAAACAAATGATCTAATGATTCTGTCTCTTCGCAGCAAAATCTGCAGAGCTGGGAAGATTGTATCCCCCATATAAATAACATTCTATTGGTAGCAAGAATTTTATATAATAATTTAAATTGAAAGATTCTAAGTTTTGAATCCGGTGTCGTTTTGCGTATCAGTTCATAAACACTATGCCATGGGATCGGTACGTCAAACATCTCTGTCAATCGGCTGTCAATCCCTTGGTCCTTAAATGAAACTGATATACCTTTTTATTTATCACAGTTTTCCTTAACCAATTATGTTCTTTAATGCAAGGCCGACAGACAAGTTCCTTACTTTCTCCCCCTTCCACTTTCCTCTTCCATTTTTGCGGTAAGGCTGCAATTATTTGGTTGTAATTTTGGGTAGAGCAGACATTTCCATATGTTTTTGTTTGCTGCATGTGCGACATAACTCCACCAGTCCTACCGATGATATCATTTACAAAGATTATACCTTTTTTAAACATTTTGGAAAAAAAAAAAGTTTTGGGGTCAATTAGTATATTTGAGTTTAACCACAATATTTGTTGCATTATTTGTTCTGTCATTTCTGGAGGATTAAATTGAAATTGCAACCAACTTTCTATGGCTTGTTTTAGAAATAGTGATATCTGGGAGATTATTTCCCTTTCAAATAACTGAAAGTGAGTGGTTGTAATCTGAATAAAGGGGAAAAGGACATTCTTGAACATTGGGTGAGACAATCTTACTAATTTGCTAGAGAACCAGTTCGGATTTAAGTATAACTTTTGTATGACTGAAGCTTTTAGTAATAATTTCTGTCCTCCGAATTCATATTAATTATATAAATAGGCCCGTTTAATTTTGTCTGGCTTGCGGTTCCAAATAAAATGGAATATTTTTTTCTCATATAATTTTAAAAACTGAATAGAATAGAATAGAATAGAATGTTGGTGCATATAGATTTTGACATACTTTGTTAGATAGATTTTGAACACATTGTTGGCCTATTTTCATTTTGGATATACTGAATCTCACATCTGTTTTAAATAGGAAAAGTATGGTAAAAAAAAACTAACAGATTTGTCTTTCAGCTGGGGTGTCAGTCTTTTAGTGACACTATTAGGGTTGCAAAGCTACCGGTAATTTACCAAAGTTACAGGAATCTTCAATAATTTTGGTAATTAACAGAAAATAGGGAGGAAATCTATTGTACCTTTGGTAATTTATACACTCTTAGAAAAAAGGGTTCCAAAAGGGTTCTACTTGGAACCAAAAGGGTTCTACCTGGAACTTAAAAGGGAACTCTAAAGGGTTCTCCTATGAGGACAGCCGAAAAACTATTTTAGGTTCCAGATAGCATCTTTCTTTCTAAGGGTATACTTGAATAACTATATGTATTAATATATAGTGTTAATGTATTATATGTGTCCATATTGTCCATTAGTTTCTAGTAGATATACCATATGGTTTAATAATTAATGAAAAAAGCATCTAATTAACAATGGCATTCTTTTCAATTACCTCTGCAACTGACTTTTTTCACAACTTCCACCAATTTGACACCAAAACATTGACAACAATCAAATATTGACAGTAAAATATATACACGTTTGTAAAAACATTTAAAAGGATATTTGAATGCTGAAAAAATCATATTTAACACCAGTGGTATTCACTAAGTTGATTATTTATATTTAGGATAATATTTTACAGCTTTGTCAGTTATTTTTTATTGTTATCATTTTAAATATTTTTATTTTATTTTATATATTTTACATGTGATAAGGCCACACAGAGGGCCAGAGATAATTACAGACACCTACAGTGGGGAAAAAAAGTATTTAGTCAGCCACCAATTGTGCAAGTTCTCCCACTTAAAAAGATGAGAGAGGCCTGTAATTTTCATCATAGGTACACGTCAACTATGACATACAAATTGAGGAAAACAAATCCATAAAATCACATTGTAGGATTTTTTATGAATTTATTTGCAAATTATGGTGGAAAATAAGTATTTGGTCACCTACAAACAAGCAAGATTTCTGGCTCTCACAGACCTGTAACTTCTTCTTTAAGAGGCTCCTCTGTCCTCCACTCGTTACCTGTATTAATGGCACCTGTTTGAACTTGTTATCAGTATAAAAGACACCTGTCCACAACCTCAAACAGTCACACTCTAAACTCCATTATGGCCAAGACCAAAGAGCTGTCAAAGGACACCAGAAACAAAATTGTAGACCTGCACCAGGCTGGGAAGACTGAATCTGCAATAGGTAAGCAGCTTGGTTTGAAGAAATCAACTGTGGGAGCAATTATTAGGAAATGGAAGACATACAAGACCACTGATAATCTCCCTCGATCTGGGGCTCCACGCAAGATCTCACCCCGTGGGGTCAAAATGATCACAAGAACGGTGAGCAAAAATCCCAGAACCACACGGGGGGACCTAGTGAATGACCTGCAGAGAGCTGGGACCAAAGTAACAAAGCCTACCATCAGTAACACACTACGCCGCCAGGGACTCAAATCCTGCAGTGCCAGACGTGTCCCCCTGCTTAAGCCAGTACATGTCCAGGCCCGTCTGAAGTTTGCTAGAGTGCGTTTGGATGATCCAGAAGAGGATTGGGAGAATGTCATATGGTCAGATGAAACCAAAATCTAACTTTTTGGTAAAAACTCAACTCGTCGTGTTTGGAGGACAAAGAATGCTGAGTTGCATCCTAAGAACACCATACCTACTGTGAAGCATGGGGGTGGAAACATCATGCTTTGGGGCTGTTTTTCTGCAAAGGGACCAGGATGACTGATCCGTGTAAAGGAAAGAATGAATGGGGCCATGTATCGTGAGATTTTGAGTGAAAACCTCCTTCCATCAGCAAGGGCATTGAAGATGAAACGTGGCTGGGTCTTTCAGCATGACAATGATCCCAAACACACCGCCCTGGCAACGAAGGAGTGGCTTCGTAAGAAGCATTTCAATGTCCTGGAGTGGCCTAGCCAGTCTCCAGATCTCAACCCCATAGAAAATCTTTGGAGGGAGTTGAAAGTCCGTGTTGCCCAGCGACAGCCCCAAAACATCACTGCTCTAGAGGAGATCTGCATGGAGGAATGGGCCAAAATACCAGCAACAGTGTGTGAAAACCTTGTGAAGACTTACAGAAAACGTTTGACCTGTGTCATTGCCAACAAAGGGTATATAACAAAGTATTGAGAAACTTTTGTTATTGACCAAATACTTATTTTCCACCATCATTTGCAAATATATTCATGAAAAATCCTACAGTGTGATTTTCTGGATTTTGTCTGTCATAGTTGACGTGTACCTATGATGAAAATTACAGGCCTCTCTCATCTTTTTAAGTGGGAGAACTTGCACAATTGGTGGCTGACTAAATACTTTTTTCCCCACTGTATGATAATCTGACGTACCGAAAAGGGCCACTAGATGTCTCGTGATAGATTACATATAATCCTTGAAAAATACCACAGTTCTGGTAGTTTACTGGTAAACTTTTGAATGTCTCCTGTAATTTACCCTCCCTTTCCAACCCTAGACTCTATAATTGACACACTTCCACTCAGATGCACATTTCTTTAATGTAGCTGAGCTTTCGGTCAGATGACCTTCATCAGAGTGACACTATTCTTACTTGTTCTATGGTTGTCTCTTTCCCTCTCTCCTCTCCCAGCCACGTGTCCCAAAGCAGCTCCTTGGACAAGGTTCGTCTGGACGGGGACAAGTTTGTACCTCCGGCCACCCGTAAGGTGGAGATGAAACGAGATCCAGTCCTGGGCTTTGGCTTTGTGGCAGGCAGTGAGAAACCAGTGGTGGTTCGGTCAGTCACACCAGGTAAACACACCAGCCCACCTGTAAACCAATCACCATTGCATATATATATATATATATATATAGCCATTAGCAACAGGAAGTAAGATGTAGTACTATACTGTATATCCAATGGTGACCAGATGACAAAAGATGGCGACCAATGGGTGATGATGACATCCAATGAAAGCCTGTGTTATATTAATTGACCATGCACTTTAGGGTACTTCATAAATTAGTTAAACCTAAGCCTAAAGGCCAGAGTACAATGGATTCAGAAAACAAAGATGAATTACTAGCTAGAAACATTGTTAATTGGTACCACTGTGGTTCCCTGTGTGTTGGTAGGGGGTCCCTCGGAGGGCAGACTGACCCCCGGAGACGAGATCATCATGATTAACGATGAGCCGGTCAGCTCCGCCCCCAGGGAGAAGGTCATCGACCTCGTCAGGTACAGGAACTCAAACTTCTCTGATAAACCTGCCGAGTTTAGATGGGATTTATGTTTGTACTGTAGCCCAGTTCTTTCCTGGAACATTGTGACGTCAAGCTGTGTGTGCTTTGCGTGGCTGAGTCATTTTCATCACTAGTGCGTCATTAGACAGTAAATGTCTGTATGAATCCATGAATGCCTGTTTAAATTGGATAACTAACTAAAAGAAACAAACAGTGAACGTTATACTTTTAGGATAATTCCCTCTGTATAGTTTCAATGTCAACACCAATAATAATGTGTAGGTACATGTAGACAGCTTTTAGCCCACTGCTGCACCATGCGGGTCCAACCGTATACTAGTGGGAATTATTTCCATGCGTCTTATTAGATTGATGTGTTTGACTCAGTTGAGTGAGTGAGTGAGTGAGTGAGTGAGTGAGTGAGTGAGTGAGTGAGTGAGTGAGTGAGTGAGTGAGTGAGTGAGTGAGTGAGTGAGTGGCTGAGTGGCTGAACGGTCAGAGTCCTCTCATGACCAACAGTACATGTTGTGTATGTAAACTTCTGACCCACTGGGAATGTGATGAAAGAAATAAAAAGCTGAAAGAAATAATTCTCTCTACTATTATTCTGACATTTCACATTCTTAAAATAAAGTGATGATCCAAACTGACCTAAGAAAGGACATTTTTACTAGGATTAAATGTCAGGAATTGTGAAAAACTGAGTTTCAATGTATTTGGCTAAGGTGTATGTAAACTTCTGAATGTTGTGTAGTGGGTCTGTACAGCAGATTATATGACAATAAGGAGTCCAGTTACTGCTCCCATGGCCTTGCAGTGTGCTGTTTCTCAGCAGTAAACCACTGTACCAATACAGAATTAACGGCCAGGCTTGAGTTATCGCTAGAACAGATTGCCGTAACACTTTATTTAGAGACCGTCTCTAGATGCTCTACAGACTATCTACAAACTATCAGTAACATTTCAACTAACTATCTACTAACCCTAACCCTAAACGTAACCCTTACCCTAAACTTAACCATTACCCCTAACCCTTATTCTGAACCTAACCCTAACTGTAACCTTAGGAAGCAGTTATCAACAGATACACTACATTACCAAAAGTATGTGGACACCTGCTCGTATTACGTCTCATTCCAAAATCATGGGCATTAATATGGAGTTGGTCCCCCCCTTTGTTGCTATAACAGCCTCCACTCTTCTGGGAAGGCTTTCCAGTAGATGTTGGAATATTGCTGCGGGGACTTGATTCCATTCAGCCACAAGAGCATTAGTGAGGTCTGGCACTGATGTTGGGCGATTAGGCCTGGCTTGCAGTCTGCGTTCCAATTAATCCCAAAGGTGTTCGATTGGGTTGAGGTCAGGGCTCTGTGCAGACCAGTCAAGTTCTTCCACACCGATCTCGACAAACCATTTCTGTATGGACCTCGCTTTATGCACGGGGGCATTGTCATGCTGAAACAGGAAAGGGCCTTCCCCAAACAGTTGCCACAAAGTTGGAAGCACAGAATCATCTAGAACGTCTTGCTTCCGGACAAGCTAAACACCTTCTTCGCCCATTTTGAGGATAACACAGTGCCACCGACGCGGCCCGCTACCAAGGACTGTGGGCTCTCCTTCTCCGTGGCCGACGTGAGTAAGACATTTAAGCATGTTAACCCTCGCAAGGCTGCCGGCACAGACGGCATCCCTAGCTGCGTCCTCAGAGCATGCGCAGACCAGCTGGCTGGAGTGTTTACGGACATATTCAATCTCTCCCGATCCCAGTCTGCTGTCCCCACTTGCTTCAAGATGTCCACCATTGTTCCTGTACCCAAGAAAGCAAAGGTAACTGAACTAAATGACTATTGGTCCGTAGCACTAACTTCTGTCATCATGAAGTGCTTTGAGAAGCTAGTTAACCTCTTAAGGATCTGACCCTTTTTTTCAATTTTCGTCTAAAATGACATACCCAAATCTAACTCCCTGTAGCTCAGGACCTGAAGCAAGGATATGCATATTATTGGTATCATTTTAAAGGAAAAACTTTGAAGTATGTGGAAATGTTAAATTAATGTAGGAGAATATAACACATTAGATCTGGTAAAAGATAATACAAACAAAAAAACATGCGTTTTCTATTTTAATTTTTTTTATCATTAGCTTATACACTAACTTGATGGATGATGGATGATTAGCGTATACACTAACTTTCACACATCTAGATGGCCGGGTGGGGTGGGTGTGGAGCCACAGACAGCAGGGGTTCAAACTGTAGAACCCAGTTCCTACATTTGAATATAAAAATAGATTTTTTCAAAAACAAAATACGCTACATTTTATCTCTGGGACCCTTAGGATGACAAATCAGAGCAAGATTACTGAATGTAAGTACATTATTTAGAAGTGAATGTATCAAACCAGTTGCCGTGATACGTTTTTTGTTGATGTGCACTCTCCTCAAACAATAGCATGGTATTTTAATTTAAGCTTTTTTAATTTTATTTAAGCTTTCATGCCCATATAAGACATGTCTATGTCCTGGAAAGTTTGCTGTTACTTACAACAGTCATGCTAATCACATTAGCGCATGTTAGCTCAAACGTCCCATATACGGGACACCGATCCCGTAAAGGTTAAGGATCATATCACCTCTACCTTACCTGACACCCTAGACCCACTTCAATTTGCTTACCTCCCCAATAGATCCACAGACAATGCAATCGCCATTGCACTGACCACTACCCTATCCCATCTGGACAAGAGGAATACCAATGTAAGAATGCTGTTCATTGACTATAGCTCAGCCTTCAACACCATAGTACCCTCCAAGCTCATCATTAAGCTCAGGGCCCTGGGTCTGAACTCCGCCCTTTGCAACTTGGTCCTGGACTTCCTGATGGGCTGCCCCCAGGTGGTGAAGGTAGGAAACATCACCATTTCGCTGATCCTCAACACAGGGACCCCACAAGGGTGCATGCTCAGCCCCCTCCTGTTCTCCCTGTTCACCTATGACTGTGTGGCCAAGCAAGCCTCCAACTCAATCATCAAGTTTGCAGACGACACAACAGTAGAAGGCCTGATTTCCAACAATGACGAGGCAGCCTACAGGGAGGAGGTGAGGGCTCTGGGAGAGTGGTGCCAGGAAAATATCCTCTCACTCAACGTCAACAAAATGAAGGAGCTGATCGTGGACTTCAGGAAACAGCAGAGGGAGCACGCCTCTATCCACACTGACGAGACCGCAGTGGAGAAGGTGGAAAGCTTCAAGTTCCTCTGCGTACACATCACTGACAAACTGAAATGGTCCACCCACACAGACAGTGTGGTGAAGAAGGCACAACAGTGCCTCTTCAACCTCAGGAGGCTGAAGAAATTTGTCTTGGCCCCTAAAACCCTCACAAACTTTTACAGATGTACAATTGAAAGCATCCTGTCGGGCTGTATCATCGCTTGGTATGGCAACTGCACTGCCCGCAACCGCAGGGCTCTCCAGAGGGTGGTATGGTCTGCCCAACGCATCACTAGGGGCACACTACCTGCCCTCCAGGACACCTACAGCACCCGATGTCACAGGAAATACAAAAAGATAATCAAGGACATCATCTACCCGAGCCACGGCCTGTTCATCCCGCTATCATCCAGAAGGCAAGGTCAGTACAGGTGCATCAAAGCTGGGACCGAGAGACTGAAAACAGCTTCTATCTCAAGGCCATCAGACTATTAAATAGCCATCACTAGCCGGCTACCACCTGGCTACTCAACCCTGCAACTTAGAGGCTGCTGCCCTGTATACATAGACATGGAATCACTGGCCCCTTTAATAATGGAACACTACTCACTTTAATAACATTTACATACTGCTCTACTCATCTCAAATGTATATGCTGTATTTTATTCTACTGTATTTTAATGCTACCCCGACATTGCTCGATCTAATATTTATATATTTCTTAATTCCATTATTTTACTTTTAGATTTGTGTGTATTGTTGTGAATTGTTAGATATTACTGCACTGTTGGAGATAGGAACACAAGCATTTCGCTACACCCGCAATAACATCTGCTAAATATGTGTATGTGACCAATAAAATTTGATTTGATTTGATTTGAATGTCATTGTATGCTGTAGCGTTAAGATTTCCCTTCACTGGAACTAAGGGGCCTAGCCCGAACCATAAAAAACTGCCCCAGACCATTATTCCTCCTCCACCAAACATTACAGTTGGCACTATGCATTTAGGCAGGTAGTGTTCTCCTGCCAGATGGTGAAGAATGATTCATCGCTCCAGAGAACGCGTTTCCACTACTCCAGTCCAATGGGTTCGAGATTTACACCACTCCAGACGACGCTCAGAATTGCGCATTGTGATCTTAGGCTGCTCGGCCATGGAAACCAATTTCATGAAGCTCCCGATGAACAGTTCTTGTGCGTTCAGCACTCGGCGGTCCCGTTCTGTGAGCTTGTGTGACCTACCACTTCGCGGCTGAGCCGTTGTTGCTCCTAGATGTTTCCACTTCACAATAACAGCACTTACAGTTGGCCGGGGGCAGCTCTAGCAGGGCAGAAATTTGACAAACTGACTTGTTGGAAAGGTGGCATCCTATGACAGTGCAATGTTGAAAGTCACTGAGCTCTTCAGTAAGGCCATTATATGGAGATTGCATGTCTACGTGCTCAATTTTATATACCTGTCAGCAACGGGTGTGGCTGAAATAGCCAAATCCACTAATTTGAAAGGGGTGTCCACATACTTTTGTATATAAAGTGTAGTTTGTTGATAGTATGACCATCTATAGAGCATCTACAGATGGACTATCCAGACTATCCAAATAACGTGTGGCCCAGATTGCTCATCTTGTTAGCCCATCTTCGTAGGTTTATTTCTAACAGTCATAATCTGCCCACTGTAGGAGAAACAATGCCTGACTCAGAGTTGATTAATCGACTTCTGCTGAATTTGACATATTTATCTTTTCAATCTATAATGATGTTTTTGGCTGGTTTGTGTTGTATTTCCTTTCTGTAGGAGCTGCAAGGAATCCATTGTGTTGACAGTGGTTCAACCGTATCCAGTAAGTCTCACTCCCAGATTCAGAGCAAACTCCTGGGGAACAGATTTCAATAGACTGTTTGTCTGCGATGCTGATTAGTTTGTTGACTCTGTGAATCCGAGACAATCCGAGACATGAAACGTGTGACCATATGTCTGTCAATGTGTAGTAACAGGCAGGACACTGCTGAGTGTTCCCCTGGTTAACTCACTGGGACTCCAGCCCAAACGGTGAATACTGAACATGGTCCAAGTCCTCTCATGGTTGCTTCAAACCCTAGCATGAGACCCCAGGTTAACGTGAACCTGCCATGTCAACAGTTGTTAGGACTAGGGAGGACTATGTGGTGATGGATTCAATGCCACAGTAACAGCTATTGCGAATGTCAGTGGTATGATTTGTAGAATAGGTCAATGAGATGGATGTGTATTGTCATCACCAGAATAGACAATGATTTGATTTTGATTTTGTCTATTGTGCTGTGTGTTCAAGCTCTAGCAGAAATCACACTGTGTTGTAACCTGGCTTTAGGAAGCACATTTCAGAAGTAACTGTAGAGAAAACAATAGTGGTTTATGTATTAAAAAAGTAGCAATTACATCCAGAAAGGCTGCACAAAAGTTTTAAAACGTATTAAATTGAGAGAGAGAGAGAGAGAGAGAGAGAGAGAGAGAGAGAGAGAGAGAGAGAGAGAGAGAGAGAGAGAGAGCTGATTTTCTGTGACTTTTCTGAAGGGGAAGACCTGTTGACAACAGTTGTTTTTATTCTATTTCTCCCTCCCACCCCCACTCCTAGTCGCCCAAATCTGCGTTCATCAGTGCAGCCAAAAAGGCCAAGTTAAAGTCTAATCCAGTGAAAGTCCGCTTCGCAGAGGAGGTCATCATTAACGGTCAGGTCCCGGTAAGACCTAGAGCACTGTACTAAAACAATACATCCCTCACTGTGTCATGTCATTGTATACCAGTGTTCTCCAAAAGCCCAAAAGTATGCACCAATGATAATGACCTTGAATCTTCTAATATTTCAAAATACATTACACTGTTAAACAGTATTGGACGCAGTCGTGTTCTTCTTCACATTGCCATTACTGATCGTTTTTCCCATTATCTTCCATTTCACGGTGTAGCCTACTGATCAATATGGAAGCTATTGTAATAATCTCCATTATCTTCCCCCATTTCACAGTGTAGCCTACTGATCAATATGGAAGCTATTGTAATCATCTTCATTATCTTCCCCCATTTCACAGTGTAGCCTGCTGATCAATATAGAAGCTATTGTAATCACCTCCATTATCTTCGCCCATTTCACAGTGTAGCCTGCTGATCAATATAGAAGCTATTGTAATCACCTCCATTATCTTCCCCCATTTCACAGTGTAGCCTGCTGATCAACATGGAAGCTATTGTAATCACCCTCATGATCTTCCCCCATTTCACAGTGTAGCCTGCTGATCAACATGGAAGCTATTGTAATCACCCTCATTATCTTCTTATTTCCAGGAATCTCTGAAGGACAACTCTCTACTCTTCATGACAAATGTTCTGAAGGTGTACCTGGAGAATGGACAGACCAAATCCTTTAAGTTTGACAGAAACACATCCATTAAGGTATAGCACCCGGTGCCATTCATTAAGACATTGTAATGGTGATAGTGATTAATTAAAAAATGATTTTTCTATTTTTCTATCATTCATAGGCCACTTATAGAAAAGTTAATTATTTTGATCACAGTAGCATATCGTATTATCTTTACTTAATTAGGATTCAGCAGGTGTCCAAATGTTCCATTGCACAAAGCACTCCCACAAAGACATGTCAGCTGTAACTTAATTTAAGTGTGATGCATGGAGAAGTAGGCCAGGGCTTTTTTTCTCATAGAAAAAAACATCTCAAAAGTGTACGGTTTTAATCTGTGTAATATTGTGTAACGCGGCTGACATAATGTCAAGTTGTGCACTGTATAAATATGATTATGGATGTGAAAGAAATCCTCCATTTTGAATAGCTTTTATTGAGTAAAACCGCATTTATTTTTCCCATTATCTTATTAGGATATGCAGCATTCCATAATTGAATTGTTTGCTTAAGAACACATACCTGTTTAGCTAGGGTATGTGTAACGCAAATGAGTGCCTGACACATACCATGTTAATAATGAATGTGTCTTCTGTCCGTGTGAAAGGATGTCATCTTGACCCTGCAAGAGAAGCTCTCCATTAAGAGTATTGAGCACTTCTCGCTGATGCTGGAGCACAGAAACGAGGGCTCGGCCAGCAAACTCATGCTCCTCCACGAGCAGGAGATGTTAACTCAGGTGAGACGTCATGGGGGGGGGGGGGGGTAACGACAGTGGAGCGGCCTCATGCTCGGATAGCCGACAGATTGACAATATTAGGCCCTAATACAGTGTAATCAAATATGACCCGCCTTCTTTCTCACAGCCAGTGTGAAATGAAGTCCCCGTGTAGCTCAGTTGGTAGAGCATGGCGCTTGCAGCGCCAGGGTTGTGGGTTCGTTGCCCACGTGGGGCCAGTATGAAAATGTATGCACTCACTAACTGTAAGTCGCTCTGGATAAGAGCGTCTGCTAAAATGACAAAACATTTAAATGTAATGAGTGTTGGTGGGCGTGTGATTGAATGATTGTAGAGGGATTGTATGTGAAAATAATGATTGTAGGGTAACGGTGAACACGATGCAGACCACCCCATCAGACAGACTATAGATGAAAATAAAGTACAATGGGGTTGGAGTATTGTTTCATCACCTTTTTCTCATTGTAAATATGTTAATACAGTCAAAAAATAAAATAAAATAATTAATAATATATATTCAATATAAAAATGAAAAATGTGTTGTTGTTTTTTTACCTTTTCAATGATTAACATTCTGGTCTTACATCAATTTGTTATAACAAATGTGAGTTATAATTTTTTTTTTTACATTGACGTTGTTTCTGGAAGCATACAAATGAGGATATAGATTTTAAGGCAATTTGATATTTTATAGGTTTTGTAATGAGTTTTTAAAATAGATAGTCAGCATTTAAATCGCAGTATCTTTAATCCATTATTCATTATTCATGACATTTCATCACTAAATGTTGATTCCTTGTCCTGGCCTGGTGCCCTAGGCAACACAGAGACCAGGGGCACAGAAGATGAAATGCTTCTTCCGTATCAGCTTTGTCCCGAAGGACCCCGTTGACCTCCTCAAGAGAGATGCAGTGGCATTTGAATACCTCTATGTTCAGGTGAGTCTCAGCACATGGAAGACAACACTGCCTGATGGAAAAGTATCACGTTTGTTGTGTTATCAAAATGTTTATTTTTGCATGATATTCATTGATATGTATTTGGTAAGATTCCTTATATAAACATTAGCTCAGAAAAATGTAAATTATCTGTTGTTGACTTGGAGCCCACCTCAACCAGAGTTACTAGTTGAGCCAAATGTAACCATACCATAGTTACTGTTACTAGGTACTACTGTCTGTTTCATGGTAAGGAACAATAGTCTAACCAGTGTAACTCCTCTCCTCTCCTCTCCTCTCCTCTCCTCTCCTCTCCTCTCCTCTCCTCTCCTCTCCTCTCCTCTCCTCTCCTCTCCTCTCCTCACCTCTCCTCTCCTCTCCTCTCCTCTCCTCTCCTCTCCTCTCCTCTCCTCTCCTCATCTTCTCCCCTTCAAGAGCTGTAATGACGTGGTGCTGGAGAGATTTGGGTCAGAGCTGAAATACGACACAGCCCTGCATCTGGCTGCCCTGCAGATGTACATCCTCACCATCAACACCAAACAGTCCCAGAAAGTCTCCCTCAAGTACATTGAGTGAGTAGCTTGTGTTTCACACTGCTGCCCCACCACCAAGTCAACAGGGAACAGATCCGATGTCGGTTCTGGTCCCTTAAAGTTCACACATGGCACTTCCTCACATGTTCAATCCAGCAACACATTGTTATGAGATCTTTTGACACCCTCACAACATTAGACTCTCAACACTTACTCGGTGACTTGTGAATAATCTGGAGAAAAAAAATCCTTATCTGGCTTGGGTGTCTTCATGAACAAATTACATCCCTGACAGATACAGTAATGATTTTCCCACTGATTGGTGCGTCGTAAATACCACAGGTAATTACTATGCATATTGATTATAATCGACTACCTGTTGGCCAATCAATGCACCCCCTCTTTATGATTGATTTTCACTGGAAAATGCATTCTGCTGTTGTACATTAAATCTGTGTTACCATGGTTTCTTGCTCTCCAGGAAGGAGTGGGGTTTGGCACTGTTCCTCCCTCCTGCAGTACTGTCCAGTATGAAAGAGAAGAACATCAAGAAAGCCCTAACACACATTCTCAAAACCAACCAGAATCTGGTAACTCCTGGAAAAAAGGTAGAGTACCTTTATTATCTCTCTCCTGTCTCTTCTTCTCCCTCTCTCTCCTGTCTCTTCTTCTCCCTCTCTCTCTCTCTCCCTCTCTCCCTCTCTCTCCTATCTTCTCTTCTTCTCTCTCTCTCTCCTGTCTTCTCTTCTCTCTCTCTCCTGTCTCCTCTTATCCCCCTCTTCTCCAGCTCACTCTTAACGCACCACCTAGGGGAATACTCAACCAGAATTGTGAATATTTTCTGATTTGTCATGCTCTCATACATTTCCCACGGTTAGATAATGTAATGCGTCACTGTGACCAATCACAGCGCCACTTTCTTTGTAAAATAAATCGTCTGTGCACATTCATACAACGTCAATAGCCTAAATTGCTCATGTTCTCTTTCAGCTGTCAGCATTGCAGGCCAAGGTCCACTATCTGAAGTATCTCAGTGACCTGAGACTGTATGGAGGGCGGGTGTTTAAATCTATACTGCTGGTAAATAACTACCTCTTCTTTTCTGAACTTTTGAGTAACGACACATCAAATATCAGAATATCATATCTCATAATAAGTTATTAATGGAGTCTGTGTATTCAGGGGTGGACTGGCCATCTGGCATTTCGGGCAAATGCCAGATGGGCTGGTCCATTTTTAGCCCAGTGGGCCTGTTTAACTTTTTTTTTTGCAGAAAATGATCATTTTCTGGCTAATAATGGGTGCCTTAAGGGAAAAATGGGCCGGTGTGGGAGCCTCAAGAGAAAAAAAAAAGGTCCTGTGTGTTTGAAATGCCAGGGCCGATTTGTGTTCCCAGTCCGCCCCGTGTGTATTGCCTTTAAATGGTTTCCCTTCTGCTTTATGCCCACAGCAAGGAGAGAAGCACACAGAGGTGACTCTACTAGTGGGTCCCAGGTATGGCATCAGTCATGTGATCAACACCAAGACTAACCTGGTGGCCCTGCTGGCTGACTTCAGCCACGTCAACCGCATCGAGATGTACACAGAGGAGGAGAAAGAAGTCAGAGTAGAGCTTCATGTTCTGGATGTCAAGGTAAAATCTATCTTCTAAATGGACTCATTCTAAATGTGGTATTTTTTCCCCCCGTTAATCATATCACATTGAACTTTTACCAGTTGAATATGGATACATTTAAAATACTTTTTTTGTGTTCAGCTTTTTCTGAAATATTTTATAAAAATACGCAAATTAGGCGATATCTCATTAAATATGTGCATATTTGCATACCACACAAATTCATGTTTCTGGACACTGGATGAAGTCAGCTCAAACATTTTAGTTTCATTTTGTTAAGACACTCTAAGGATAACCGCACAGAGCATGGTGTGAATGCAGATGCTTCTGAAGCTGAGAGAAATGAGTTGGCATGTGAGAAAAGTCTGACTTTCAGGAAATGACAGTTAAAGACAAGTACACTGAATTTAGACTACCAAACGCCAAAAGCCTGTTTAGACCCAATCACCATCTCTTCAAGGCGAAGGTCGAGAGCCATGCGTCCTCCGAAACATGACCCTGCCAAGCCGCACTGCTTCTTGACACACTGCTCGCTTAACCCGGAAGCCAGCCGCACCAATGTGTTGGAGGAAACACCGTCCAACTGGAGACCGTGTCAGCGTGCATGCGCCCGGCCCGCCACAGGAGTCGCTAGAGCACGATGGGACAAGGACATCCCGGCCGGCCAAACCCTCCCCTAACCCAGACGACGCTGGGCCAATTGTGCGCCGCCTCATGGGTCTCCCGGTCGCGGCCGGCTGCGACACAGCCTGGGATCGAACCTGGATCTGTAGTGATGCATCTAGAGCTGCGATGCAGTGCCTTAGACTGCTGCGCCACTCGGGAGTCCCACCAAAGTAAGTTATTAAATGTAGTCCACTTTGTAACATTCTCTATGAACTGGACTTAAAACCTCTTAGATGTAAAGTCCCGTTTTTAGGGGACATGCGTGGTTCTGGTACCGGTTCCGTCCAACATGTTCGCTTATAAATCGATCTGTGGATTCCCGTAGATGGAAATGGCTTGCATGTCCTGGTTCCCACGGACACACTAGTATGAGCCTTGTGTGACCTACTGTAGGATGTGAAATCTGAAACCACTTGAAGCTGGGATGTCCCTCCTACCATTTCATTCGCTCTTCCGACTGTCCATCAACTCCTGGCTGAACCCTGCTATACATCACAAAGCACATGCCTGCAATGGTTACACCGTAGCACATTCAGAGATCGATTTATAGCCATTCATCTAAAATAATTCATAGATTTGAAACAAAAAACACTTTCTGTTTTTCGTAGATGGGTGTGAAATGAAAGGCGAGCTCCTAACGAGTTCAGGAAGCCAAGCTACAGCCCTGTGAGACGGTCACAGGCAAGGGGGCAGACATTTTGATCAAGGGAGACCTTTAGAAAATATGCACATTTTCTCTAACACTAAACATACTAATATGTATTTTACAGTTATAAGGAAGGTGAAATATTATAGTTAGTCAATTTATCATTTGATTATGCTATATTTAGAAAGCATATAAGTAATTTCAAGCCTTATTCATACAGTTTTGTTGAATAGGAAATACATAATATGGACTGCCCACTCCATGATCTCGCCATCACGGTTGACAACTCCATTGTGTCCTCCTCCCAGAGTGCAAAGAACCTTGGCGTGACCCTGGACAACACCCTGTTGTTCTCCGCTAACATCAAAGTGGCGACCCGATCCTGCAGGTTCATGCTCTACAACATTCGCAGAGTGCGACCCTTCCTTACACAGAAAGCGGCACAAGTCCTAATCCAGGCACTTGTCATCTCCCGTCTGGATTACTGCAACTCGCTGTTGGCTGGGCTCCCTGCCTGTGCCATTAAACCCCTACAACTTATCCAGAACGCTGCAGCCCGTCTGGTGTTCAACCTTCCCAAGTTCTCTCATGTCACCCCGCTCCTCCGCACACTCCACTGGCTTCCAGTTGAGGCTCACATCTACTACAAGACCATGGTGCTTGCCTACGGAGCTGTGAGGGGAACGGCACCTCCTTACCTTCAGGCTCTGATCAGTCCCTACACCCAAACGAGGGCACTACGTTCATCCACCTCTGGCCTGCTAGCCCCCCTACCTCTACGGAAGCACAGTTCCCGCTCAGCCCAGTCAAAGCTATTCGCTGCTCTGGCACCCCAATGGTGGAACAAGCTCCCCCATGACGCCAGAACAGCGGAGTCACTGACCACCTTCCGGAGACACTTGAAACCCTGGAATAGTATAAAGTAATCCTTCTTCCCCCACCCCCCATTTAAAAAAAAAAGGACCAAAAAAATAGTACAAAAAAAAAAGTTTAATGCACCATTTTGTAAGTCGCTCTGGATAAGAGCGTCTGCTAAATGATGTAAATGTAAATAATATAAAATATTTCATATTTTCATATTTTAATCATATTTGTACTGTGTACTTGAGCTTGTGTCCCCAAATGTGATTACACCTCAGGAATGTGTAACTATTTTAACCAGAAAGGTGAGATTTTCCCCTTTCTTTGAGTATGCAGCATTACTAGTTATTGTTTATGGTAAATTAGAATTGTCTCATGATAAATAATTACCTTTGGGGATTACATTTTTTAAATGAAGTGTCATTACCTGTAGTGAGCTTTGAAATTATGGATTTATGTCCATTTTAATATGGTTCAAATTCCTGAAAATGATAAACAAAATAAAATATATATCTACATCAAGTTTTAGAAATGTTATGTTTACCTTTTAAAGTACTAATATTAAAGGACCAAAATACCCCAAAAATCTCAGAACTGATAAGTTGATGCAACAAAAAAAATTTCAGCCTGCGGTGCCTCGCCTTAATAAGCAACAAAATCATATCCAGTAATAATATTGAGCAAAGAAATTAATGCTCAATGAGAACCATTAGAATAACACTAAGCCTTGACATTACTTCATCTGACGGTCTATTTCCATTTTGTGTGTGTTCATTGTCGTCCTCTTATCTCCCTGTTCTCCAGCCCATCACTCTGCTAATGGAGTCCACTGATGCGATGAATCTGGCCTGTCTGACTGCTGGATACTACAGACTACTGGTGGACTCTCGCCGTTCCATCTTCAACGTGTTCAAAACAGGGAATGCAGACACCGGTGAGTCTAGACTCTGTACAGTTCCATCTACAACGTGGTCAAAACAGGGAATGTAAACACCGGTGAGTCTCTAGACTCTATATAGTTCAAAAGTCTGCTATTGCAGAAACCTGATTATCAACCCCTGGTTTGGTTCCTGTCCTCAGGCCATGACTCCAGAGTAAAGCAGAAATACCAGGCCATAGAGTTGACGTACAGCACCTCCTTTAGGGGATGTGAGGAGCACCAGCACCACAACAGTCAGAGCTGCACCAGAGAGCCCTGCACCAACAGAGACTCAGACTACATGGACCCCGTCTATATCACTGAGATCCAGCAGCCGCCCCAGTACAGCATGCACATGGCAGAGAGGGTGAATGCCAGAGGGGGGACCAGAGGCCCAACTCATCCCCAGCCCTGCCTCTGTGTCCCCAGTGTCCCCAGTGTCACCAGGCCCAAACCCCAGGACTCCCCCCACAGCGCCAAGGTCTCCTTCATCTTCGGGGATCCTCCGTTAGACAGTGTGGACCCCCAGAACCTGGGCTACCAGAGGCTGATGGAGGAGGCCCCAGAGGTTCTACACGACCACAGCCCCGTGTATGAGCGACTAGAGGAGGACTGCAAGGGCAGGGATCACATGGCGATGGACGGGGAGGGATATCCGTACGCCGCAAAAATCTTCGGCAACACTGAGTGCAGCGAGGAGCCGCTGCTGCACGACATCTGCTACGCGGACATCACAGACGCGGACGAAGACGAGGAGGACGTCAGCTGCGAGGAGGACGTGGGACCGACGGGGGATCTGGACAGGGCTACGTTCCTCTCGCTCTCTGGGTCCAGCGATGACATCATCGACCTGACCTCCCTGCCCCCGCCATCGGAGGACGACAAGGATGCCGAGGACGTGTTCCTTCGCTCCCTCAACCTGGCCATCGCAGCCCCGCCCCCAGGCTTCAGGGACCGCTCTGATGAGGACGAGAGGCACGGGGCTGCCCAGGGGCCTGTCAGGAAGAGCCAGGGGACCCGTGATGATATCCCAGCGTCCCTCATAGACTCAGTCACCACACAGGGGGAGGAGGGCCCAGAAGGGGACGGGGCCCTGGACGATGCTGTGGTGTCCACCTTACAGGCCCTGGAGGCCCTCGCAGCTTCCGAGGAGCAAAGCCCAAAACCACAGTCAGAAAATAGCACAGGTTCTTCTTCTTACACTGTTGTAACATTTATTAATTAACACCACGCAAATTATCCAGACATTAACGTTTTGATTTGTTGTTGTTGATTTTTCAATAAAAACCCATTTTGTTCTATGTTTCCATTTTGTGTGTGTATTGTTTCATTAGTTTTGAATGTAAATCATTTGCTGTGTCACACTCATTTTGTCTCCAGAGATTTTTTGTTGTTGTTTTGTGTATCATTTTGTTTGTTTTATAATTTATGAACAATGCACAAATGCATTTCAACTCACAACTTTCATACTTTTTGTACCAATTAAATATGTGCTATTTTATAATATCTCTCAGGTGCCTCAGGTGAAGTTGTTAATAAAATGTCTGTCTCTCTGTGGCACACAGGTGTAGAAATATCAAGGGCATTTAGCCCCGAGTCCTCGTCAGACTCTGGCAACGAGACTAACTCCTCAGAGATGACAGAGAGCTCAGAGCTGGTCGCTGCCCAGAAACTCTCTGAAACCCACCTGAGACTGTATGTGGCCACTGCTGAGGGCTACCACACTCTGACTGAGGAGAAAACAGAGTTTCCCGTAACACAGTATGAGGACGGGGCGGACCTGGGCATACAGCACAACCCTCAGGAGACCCAGGGGGAGGAGGAGGAGTTGGAGGAGGAATTGGAGGAGAAGAAGGAGGAGGGGGCCAAGTCCTTGGGTGTGTCATCCACCCAGATCCTACACTCAGAAGGGGGAGAGATGGAGCCAGAGACCATTGAGACCAAGTCCCTCACCGACTACTTCAGCAAACTGCACATGGGCTCTTTGATGAGCAAGCAGCCAGGGAAGCAGAGTGACCCTGAGGGCAGGATTCAGGGAGAGACCAGTGACTCAACAGAAAAACGGAACAGCAACGTCCAGATCTCAAATAGAGGGGAGCCACCCAAATATAACGCTATTGTAAGGGAATCTCCATACATGAACCAATTCGAGTTGGGGCGAACGCCGTATCCGTATCGAGAGAAGCCCCCAAGATATCACCGGCCGCCTGAAAACAAAGGGGCCAACAATCTCTCCCCAGACTGTGTGAGTGACTCACACGCCTCCCACTCTGACAGGGCAACAATTAAAGGAGACAAGCAGGACTGGGATGAAAGGAGCCAGCAGTTAGACGCTCATTCACACTCCCCTGCCAAAGACCCCCACAGTACCCAGGAAGCCAATTTACCCAGCAGCGACCGGCAGCAGACGAGGATCCCATCAGCCGAGCAGGATGTCACACGGCTATATGAGTACCACCTGAGTGAGCACATGCCATTGTTACAGAGCAACGAGGGTGTTGACTCCCTGCAGAGCTCCCAGTGCTCCTCCATAGACGCTGGTTGCAGTACAGGAAGCAGCAGATGTGTCACGCCCATGGACTCTCCCCTCTGCACTGGAGAAAACACGCATCTACTGTCGGAGTCTTCCCTTAAGGGAATGGGCTATATGAGTTGGGAGGAGAAGGGCTATGGCAGCCAAAGCCAGGGGACACAGCAAGGCAAGGCTAGACATCAGACCATGGACCCCACCCTGCTGAGGAAGATCCACGCAGCCACCAGTGCCGAGCCTGGGTTCGGTACCATGCGGGGAGATGGCTGCCACCGGATGCTGAAGATAAAAGAAACCACAGGTAAATAAATAAGTCGTTTCCTATGACGTCTGTGTGCTTACAGCTCTTATTCCAGTCTTATTCCAACCTCATAGTGTGGAAATATATATATAAAACACAGGATGTTTAAGTGGAAGTGGGAAACACAATTCTAGGAGGAAAGTGTGGCTGTTGATAAATAATTCACTTTTGGGGATTAGGATGACAGGGTACTATTATCCATTCAGGCAGAAAGACAGTAACAAGAATGTCACTGGCATTTATACAATAATACAATGCAAACATGAGTAGCACAGGAGGCTGCTGAGGGGAGGACGGCTCATAATAATGTCCGAAACGGAGCGAATGGAATTGCACCAAACACCTGGGAACCATGTGTTTGATGTATTTGATACCATTCCACCGATTCCGCTCCAGCCATTAACATGAGCCCGTCATCGCTAGTTAAGGAGCCACCGACCTCCTGTGATGTGTAGAGGATTGGTGTAAGATGTAATAATATTGCTGTGTGTGAGCCCTTCTAAGTACATTATGCAACACTTGCTGCAGGGAGAGTTTGTCAAAGTGCTGAAATGCACCTCTGTTCTATTTTACACCACTCTCTTGAAATCAAGCTATGTTATGAAAGCATCATTAGATAAAACTCTTACAAAAAAAAGTCCTCTAATGAAAACAGGAAAGGGTGATGAGTGATCAAAGCAATGCACCATGTTGTCAGGGAGATGCTTAATGATTATCTTTGTATTTCTGCTCCCCGTAGTGTAGCTTGCACACAGCTGGAGACGGCTGCAGGGAAAGACTCCTCCTCAGCTCTCTCCAACGAGGTCAACGCCGCCGCCACCACCACCTCACCACCTCACCACCGTCATTCACCAGTAGCAGCAGCACGGAGTCCAGTGTGCCCAGTGTGCCAAAGCAGCAGGGGTGCCACAATCCTGAGACCCTCCCGCACCGCACCCAGGCATTCCCCTCAAGCTTACAACCATGTGACCGTATCACAGGCAGCCTCAGGTTGTCGGATGCTGAGGATTTGCTGGAGCAGCCTCATGCCGGGCTCTGGGAGCCTCGAAGCGCTGCTGGAGAAAGCAAAAGCCACTCTGAGCGGGAGGAGCGGGAGGAGCGCCCAGAGTCCAGTCACCTGACGACCCCACCAAGCCACAGAGGAGATCTGCTCTGAGCGGGAGGAGCGCCCAGAGTCCAGTCACCTGACGACCCCACCAAGCCACAGAGGAGATCTGCTCTGAGCGGGAGGAGCGCCCAGAGTCCAGTCACCTGACGACCCCACCAAGCCACAGAGGAGATCTGCTCTGAGCGGGAGGAGCGCCCAGAGTCCAGTCACCTGACGACCCCACCAAGCCACAGAGGAGATCTGCTTTTTCCAAGACACTTTCCATGAGCTTGTCCTTGTCTCATGGTTCAGTATTGGTCCGTTAGAACGGTTAGCGCTCAGTCCTCTGGCAGGAGGCTCATCAGAGGTGCCTCCATCATGCTGCCAGCATCATGGGATGCCAAGCAGCTCTGAGCCATGCCACTACCCAGACTGGACAGTAGGAGGTGGTGGAGGTGCCTGGAGGAGGTGCCACGGGCCCTTCACTCACTGCTTCCCCAAGAGGAAGACCAACATGGATGGGGACGATGTAGATGAAGGTGGAGAAAAAAAAAACACCCCCCCCCAGCCGTTCTCTGGGGGTCGAAGGGCCCAGTCACGCCCTACCAACACAAGTGTTGAGGCAGAGAACACAATCTCTCTATACGCCTCTGGAGCTGAACCCTTCGCTGTGGCTGAACAGCTCAACATGGCCAATGGTGTGACTGTGAGTGACATGAGTCTGGGAGCTAAGCTGGCCCATGGGAACTCATTGGAGGGAAGACCTACAGCCTCCCCAATGGGGTCCCAGACACACAGAGAGATGCCCTTTAGATAATGGCCCTGGTGCGCTCCAGTGTAGGCCAGGGAGAGGGCCAGAGGTCAGAGGTCAGAGGTCAGGTAGCCAGACCTGTTGGGATTCAGCCAGCTGCTCTCCATGGAGGCCCTAGAGCGAGGCAGCGCCTGCAGTCACATGGCCCTGGTGCACCCTGCTCACCCTGACTCAGTTTCCACATGCTCTGCTGTTTAACACAGGGCTGCATGTCACTGGTGGAGGGCTTTAGCCATGAGAGCCGGCAGCGCAAGATGGTAGCCAAGGTGGACGAGCTGGTAGACAAGGTGGACGAGCTGGTAGCTAAGGTGGACGAGCTGGTGGCCAAGGTGGATGAGCTGGTAGCCAAGGTGGACGAGCTGGTAGCCAAGGTGGATGAGCTGGTAGCCAAGGTGGACGAGCTGGTAGCCAAGATGGATGAGCTGGTAGCCAAGGTGGACGAGCTGGTAGCCAAGGTGGATGAGCTGGTAGCCAAGATGGATGAGCTGGTAGCCAAGGTGGACGAGCTGGTAGCCAAGGTGGATGAGCTGGTAGCCGAGGTGACCAGCTGGTAGCCAAGGTGGACGAGCTGGTAGCCAAGGTGACGAGCTGGTAGCCGAGGTGACCAGCTGGTAGCCAAGGTGGACGAGCTGGTAGCCAAGGTGGACGAGCTGGTAGCCAAGGTGGACGAGCTGGTAGCCAAGGTGGATGAGCTGGTAGCCGAGGTGACCAGCTGGTAGCCAAGGTGGACGAGCTGGTAGCCAAGGTGGACGAGCTGGTAGCCAAGGTGGACGAGCTGGTAGCCAAGGTGGATGAGCTGGTAGCCAAGGTGGACGAGCTGGTAGCCAAGGTGGATGAGCTGGTAGCCAAGGTGGATGAGCTGGTAGCCAAGGTGGACGAGCTGGTAGCCAAGGTGGACGAGCTGGTAACCAAAGTGACGAGGTCATCATGAACTATGTCTGCTTGGGTGTGCTGAAATGGCTTCGGGCAGTTCCCCCGATGACCAAAGTGGGAATGCATTGACACGACACTCTACCACCATGTCTGCTATTGTCAACACACTGAGTCGCTCACTTACAACACTCCTTTACAAGTAAACACAACAACACGGTTGTCTTTCTGATTAGCGATTTCAAAGCCATACATAAGAGACACGGGTTTATTCGACCCAAACCAATGTGATCCGCTGTGACAAACCTTACCTTGTGTATATCTTGTTTGATATGTAAAGTAAAATAAATTATATGAATCATGATGACACTTTTAAAAGAGATTATATTCAGGCATCTGAGAAGAAAATAATTAACCTTAGGGTATATACACTGATATTACTGAAGTATACTTTTACAAATTGATAATTAACTTTTTGGGGTGTAATGTGTAGATGGACCTCTATTAGATCTGTATTATATTTGTATTCAATATATTAAAAGTTATGTTACACATGATACATAAATATATATATGACAAAGAGCTCTAGACAAATCAATGTGCAAGACAATACATTTTATTAAATGATACAGTCCATTATGACCTCAGTCTTTTTCATTTGCTGAATCCAACGTAGTTTATGAATCTTTGCACATGATCACTGAGTACCTTCCTGTTATTTTAGTACTCAGCACTACTGTAACATATTAAAGGTTTAAAACGCTGCAACCTGATTATTGTCTCCTTTGTTGTGCTTTGTTGTTCTCAAAACAAAATGTCATACAAAGTAAATGTCCATTTCAATTTCAATGATCAATTTCAAAATATTTCACAAATATTGTTTTCTTGTTCTCTAAAGCCCAAGCCGCTTTCTGCTGACAGTGAGGGCAGCTTTTTTAATCTTTCTCATAATTTATACCAGAGACTCTCCTGGACCATGTTTGGTTGAATAACAATGTTTAATTATTTACTGTTTGGAAGCTGGAGAGTGTGTCTGCATGATGTATTCTGCCCTTGCCAGGCACAGACAGTACTGTTTTTCGTGGCAGCTACTAGCTAATGTCCCAGCTGTCTACGCATGCCCAACTAATGGAAAGTTTTGTGATGTGTTTTCTCTAAACCGAGGTTTCACTTTCATTTACAGAAGAATTGTACTTGAAACTGTGGTAACACGAGAGATAAATCTGTCTTCACGTCTCCCAGTAAACACACGTTTCCTCCTTTTTATACAGCGCATAGAGTGAAAGTCCACTCACCCTTCGCAAAGTTTTCATATTTTACTACCTTAAAATTCTATCTAAACGTGAAACAAAATGTATTGAAATTCTTCCAAATAAATACAAAATTAAAAACTAAGATGTCTTGATTGTGTATGTATTCACACCCCAGAGTTAATACTGCGGAAGCACCTTGGCAACAATTACAGCTCTGAATCATTTTGAATAAGATTTTACCAACTTTGCACAAATCTTAGGGCTACATATGTATATCAATTGTTTTGTCAAAATTGATCAAGCTCAGTAAATGTGGTTGGGAATCTTTGATGGACAGCAATAATCAAAACCGTGTCGGTGATAACTAACTAAATAACTAAAATGTAAAATGTAATATGTTCAGAAGACTAAGAGCTCTATTCAATATGTATTGCTGAACCGTTACAGATTGCGCTATAGAAATGCAAAGGTCATTTCTGATTGAGCCGACATGTGCAACGTTTACCGTGAACGCAGTCTCCGCTGACGTGGGAACATTGCCTTTAAATTTAAATCATGCTGTAAAGCTGAACTTCCGCAATACGTATTGAATAGAGCCCCCGAGGCACGTTTTCTTTTAACTTTTTACCTGGGCTTTGCTCCTTTCATATTTATTTTGGATCCTGACAAACTCCCCAGTCCCTGCCAGTGGCAAGCATACCCATAACATGATGCTACCACCACAATATTTGGAAATACAGAGTGTTTCACAACATTTCATTCACCACATTACTGACCTGTATGACAAAGTAACAAGAAGGAAGTGTTAAATATACATTCTGTTTGCCATAAGGCCCTTAAGTAATACTGTAAGACAACACGGCAAATAAATGTACTTTTTAGCCTAATTAAAAACTTGAATACAACACATCACAAAGTGAAACCCTCTGTATTTGGTGGCAGCATCGTGGTATGGGTATGCTTGTCACCGGCAGGGAGAGTTTGTCAGGATCAAAATAAATATGAAATGCGCTTCCGCCAAGTATTAACTCTGGGGTGTGAAGACATTATGCGATCAAGACATCTTTGTTTGAATATAATTCTTATTTCGCTTTGAAAATGTGGAGTAGATTATGTAGATCAGTAGCGGAAAAAATCCACTTTAATCCCTTTTTAGATTTAATATTAAGGCAGAAAAAATTGAAGACTGCAATGCTATCATAAATAAGACAAACTGTATGCGTATTCGTATCAATAAATGCTACAAATCAAGGACGAGCACATGCTTGAAAAAAGCTCTATTCATCCACAATTAATCAGTACTGCTACAAAAAAAAATTAAGCTATTGCATGTATAGTATTGGATTTATATAAACCAAGGAAGCCTACATACAGAAAATGCTGCTCCAAAGTGCTTAAATTAAGCCTGCACCAAAATTAGACAACAACATTGATTGATTTAACAAATTTAGATTTTAGGAACTTAACTTTGACCTCAGGCAACAGTTGTACTGTCTGCCTATTGATAGATAGTTGTCTGGCATCTGCCTAAAGGAAGTGGAGACTATTAAAGACACTTTCACTCACACATCTGTTGTCCTTCGTGCCATCATCCTGTGTTTTCATGTGATCGTTCTCAGTCCTCCTTTCATTTTATAGTAAGAGTGAAATGAACCATGAGAACTTATCGACACAAACATTGATCTGAACAATGCTGTCTCACATGATGGTAAGAATTCCTTTCATATGATAATACCTTTAATATGATAATAACTTTCATATGATAATACCTTTCATATGATAATACAGTTCATGAATATAAGGTGTAGTATGCTAATCTAAATATTATGTTTGATGTGCAGGGAGAAAAAAAAAGATAGATGAAAATGAAGAAATGATGTCTTTAACCTCTAAGCTAACAGGATGGTCATACCATGGATCATTTAGCTATTTGATTTAGAATTTTAGGACCCCTTAAGGTATATAACAAATAAAAATATTGCAGTTGGCCTTTACTGCTATAGAAACGCATTGAATAACACATTCATAAATGGTTAAGACAGTCAAAAAATGTCATCGTAAGGAATAAGGTTTTGAAGTGTCTGTCCTGTATCTAGGAGATGTAAGAAAGTTCAGGAAATATTTAGATTTTTATTTTTTTTGGAACACATATCTAACCCCTTGTTTTTGTTGGCACAAAACCACCTCCATACTTCCATTTGTTTGTATGAGTAACCATCAGACGGGTCGTAGAGCAAAACAGAAAACACTGAACGGTTTGGCCTTTGGAAAGGATAGAGGGGTCAAAACAGTCTGAAGGCCAAAACCGTTCGGACGCTACAGACCTTTTTTTCGTGAGAAAGACTGACTTTCAGGACGTCTCATGGTCCTGACAAACAACGCTGTAGCTCGGACACCTTCCACCGCCGATGGAGAAGGCCAACATAGGTCAGATGTAGAGGATTGAGACTAGCTTAAAACGGACAGATTTTTGATGGAGATTTGTTTTATTATGATACAGAGATTGATGCATGGGTGGGTCAACAGACTCTTAATTAACCATGATTATAAAGGACTCAATAGAGGTAAAAGGAAATATATAAATTTACATTTGTTTATGTTATGTCTATGCAGAACAACATAGAAAAGGTAAATAGAATCAGAATAAGAAATAGTAGAAAATAAAAATGCCAACCTTTTCATGAATTAACCAACATCTGCAATAGCTTTGTTTAGCTGAGCCACTGCGAAGTTATTGGTTTCTATATTTGTATATTTTATTGAGCAGTTAATTTATTGAGCAGTACATTTTTTAAAGACTCTCTTGTGTCCTGTGGTTTAAGAGAGGCAATATGCTAATAAAACTTGTCATCATTACCCCTCTAGTAATAACACTGTCCTGTTCCCCCAGAGGTCAGAGTGTGTTATCATTACCCCTCTAGTAATAACACTGTCCTGTTCCCCCAGAGGTCAGAGTGTGTTATCATTACCCCTCTAGTAATAACACTGCCCTGTTTCCCCAGAGGTCAGAGTGTGTTATCATTACCCCTCTAGTAATAACACTGTCCTGTTCCCCCAGAGGTCAGAGTGTGTTATCATTACCCCTCTAGTAATAACACTGTCCTGTTCCCCCAGAGGTCAGAGTGTGTTATCATTACCCCTCTAGTAATAACACTGTCCTGTTCCCCCAGAGGTCAGAGTGTGTTATCATTACCCTCTAGTAATAACACTGTCCTGTTCCCCCAGAGGTCAGAGTGTGTTATAATTACGCCTCTAGTAATAACACTGTCCTGTTCCCCCAGAGGTCAGAGTGTGTCATCATTACCCCTCTAGTAATAACACTGTCCTGTTCCCCCAGAGGTCAGAGTGTGCATCTTTCCAGGTGTGTGGGGTGATGCTGCTGGGCCTGTGGTGCTCCTCTGTGCTGGCAACTGGAGGTTGGTACCCCAAAACCCTACCCTGTGACGTCACCCTGGCCAGCAACGACACCGTGGTCAATGTAGATTGCACTGAGAGAGGACTCCTGGAGGTCCCAAAGGACATCCCCAGAAACACCACCAACCTGACCCTCACCATCAACCACATCCCTCACATTAACTCAACGTCCTTCCAGGGCCTGGAGAACCTCACCGAGATCGACATGCGCTGTAACTGCGTGCCCATCAAGATCGGCCCCAAGGACCGCATGTGCACAGAGAGTGTGACTATCAAGCAGAACACCTTTAAAGACCTGAGGAATCTGAAGGCTCTGTATCTGGATGGGAATCAGCTCTCCAGCATCCCAAAGGGTCTCCCTCCAAACCTCATTCTGCTCAGTTTAGAGGTGAATCAAATATATACCATTCTGAAAAGGAACCTCTCTGACATCACTAACGTACAGATTCTTTACCTGGGACAAAATTGTTACTATCGTAACCCATGTAATGTTTCCTATCAAATTGAGGAAGGCGCATTTCTACAGCTTGGTAACATGACTGTCCTATCCCTCAAGTCAAATAACCTATCCTACATTCCCCCAAGATTACCAACAAGTCTCAGAGAGTTGTATCTCTATAATAACAAGATTGAAATGGTTACTGACAAAGATTTTCATAACTTAACCCAATTGGAGATACTTGACCTAAGCGGAAACTGCCCACGATGTTATAATGCGCCATTTCCTTGTATTCCATGCCCTAACAATTCACTTCAGATAGACGCAAGTGCCTTTAAAGCATTGCCCAAACTGAGGATACTACGCCTGCATAGTAACTCCCTCACGTATGTCCTTACAGAGTGGTTTCAGAACTGTACAGATCTGCGAGTACTTGATCTCTCAACCAACTTTTTAGCTCGAGAGATAACAATGACTTACTTCCCACGAGCTCTACCCAACCTGGAAGAATTGGACCTGTCTTTTAACTATGAGCTGCAGAGGTATCCAGCTACACTGCGCCTTAGTCCCTCATTCTCCTTCCTGAAATCCCTGAAAGTACTCCGCATCAGGGCCTTCGTCTTCCAGCAGCTCACCTTCAAAGACATCAGCCCACTGATTCCTCTAAAGAACCTGGAGGTCATTGACCTGGGCACCAACTTCATCAAAATAACCAACCTCAGCATTCTGATGGAACTGAAAAACTTCAAAATAATAAATTTATCTGACAACAAAATATCGTCCCCTTCTGAAAGTGGTCAGTCTGTTGCCTTTTCGGGAGGAGAAGCCCTGCATGGCTCACCGATGTCAGATGCTGGGCATAACCGCAATGGAGAAGTGAGAGAGATTCATTATTTTAGATACGATGAGTATGCTCGCAGCTGCAAATACAAGGACAAGGAGGATGGGATGCTGAATTCATTCGTCAATACCCAGTGCAGCCAGTTTGGGAAAACCCTGGATATCAGCAGGAATAATATATTTTTCCTTCACTCCAGATTCTTGAACCTTGCTGATCTTAGATGCCTAAATCTCTCTGGAAATGCCATGAGCCAAAGTCTAAATGGTTCTGAGTTCACTTACCTCACTAACTTAAAGTATCTTGACTTCTCATACAATCGTCTGGACCTTCTCTATTCCTCAGCGTTTCGGGAACTGACAAGTTTAGTTATCTTAGACATAAGCAACAACAACCATTACTTTGAATCCGAGGGTTTGACCCACATGCTTAATTTCACCAAAAATTTGACCAATCTGACGATATTACTCATGAACTATAATAAGATTTCCACCTCCACCAACACAGAGCTGGAGAGTTTCTCTCTGGAGAAGTTAGAGTTCAAAGGTAACCGTTTAGATATGCTATGGAGAGATGGCGATACAAGATACATCAACTACTTCAAAAAACTGCTCAATCTGAGGGTCCTAGACATCTCTCACAACAACCTCAACTTCATCCCTCAGCAAGTCTTCCAAGGCCTGCCAGACAAACTCACTCATCTCCACATCAACAACAACAGACTAAAGATATTTAGTTGGGAGAAGCTGACGATTCTTCAGTCCTTAGAGGTTCTAGATCTCAGCAGTAATAGCCTATCAACAGTTCCCCCAGAGCTCTCCAACTGCACCGAATCTCTCAAGACTCTCCTCTTACACAGAAACCAAATATCCAAACTCTCTCCGTATTTCCTCAAGGACGCCTTTAGTTTGAAGCATCTGGATCTCAGCTTCAATCACATTCAAAACATCGAGCAGACCAGCATCCCTGATGACGTTGTCGATCACATGGACACGTTAGTCCTGAACAACAACAAGTTCATGTGCAACTGTAACGCCCTCATGTTTGTGATGTGGCTGAACCGCACCATGGTGAACATCCCCAGACTGGCCACCGATGTGACCTGTGCTGCTCCAGGAGCCCAGAGGGGTCATCCGGTCATATCCCTGGACCTAGAACTGCAGGCCTGCCAGCATAACTACATGTCCATCATCCTCTACATCCTTCTCACATCCCTGGTGCTCAGCTTCGTCACCCTCTCCATCTCCAGCCACCTCTTCCTCTGGGACGTCTGGTACATCTACCACTTCCTCCTGGCCAAGTTCAAAGGCTACAGACGCCTGTCCTCGCCCAGCGCTCCCTACGACGCCTTCGTAGTGTACGACAAGAAGGACCCGGAGGTGTCTGAGTGGGTGCTGAAGGAGCTGCTTGTTCAGCTGGAGGACCGCGGGGACCATCCCTTACAGCTTTGTCTGGAGGAACGAGACTGGATCCCTGGCTGCCCCCTGATCGACAACCTCTCCCAGAGCATCCACCAGAGCAAGAGGACCGTGTTCATACTGACCAACAAGTACATCAAGAGCGGGGACTTCAAGACCGCGTTCTACATGGCCCATCAGAGGCTTATGGATGAGAGAGATGATGTGATTGTCTTGATTTTCCTGGAAAAGGTCCCCAGTCACTCAAAGTACCTGAGACTCAGGAAGAGGTTGTATAGGCGGTCAGTGATGGAGTGGCCAACAAATCCTCAAGCACAGCAATACTTTTGGTTTAGCCTAAGGAGTGTACTGGCAACAGACAGTCAAAAACAATACAGTAATCTCTTCAAGGAGACTCTTTGAAAAAGGCCTTAACACAATGATTTCGCCATGTGCATAGCATTGCCCTTTTTTTTGTGATTGTGTAATCAAGGGAAGCAAACCATGGGAGAACTTCCTCAATTAATCTATGAAGTTCCTGTTTCATTTAGATCTTATGGTGGGATGAGAATCTGTGGCTATGTTGCCAGCCAGTCAGAGGCACTTGTTCTTTCTGGGGGATTTTTTACTTAGAAAAAAACTATACTGTGATTAAATTGAACTGGCAACAGACAGTCAAAAACAATACAATAATCTCTTCAAGAAGACTCTTTGAAAAGGGCAAACACAATAATTCTGCACTTAGAATACACCTTACCCACTGGGCACACACTGGTTGAATCAACATTGTTTTCACGTAATTTCAATGAATAGTCTGTGCCCAGTGGGTAGTGTAGACCTTTTTATGTGGTGACAATTATCTTAAAGACAGTTTTAAGGTTCAAAGTAAATGTAATGTATCTCATGAGAATGTATAGATATGAACTTCCATCTCTAATACTGACTGATCATTTTTTTGCTGTACTGCAATGCTTATAAATATAAGGTAACAATAAAATTTATAAAATAATAACGATTCACAAAATCATTAAACTGATTCTGCCTTTAATCTCTTGATGCATTTCAGAAAGAGGAAATAAATTCAGAGGAGAACTTCCCCAACCAGCTTGTTGAACACATTTAACTAACTAGAGCTGCGAGGGGAATTTGAGTTGCACTTGATGTGTGTTTGAGTAGAGAGAAGTTGAGCCATTACACAAGGGACTACATCGATGGAAACACAAAGAAAACCAACAGCCCCCCCGTAGTTTTATTACACTTCTTTGCTGACTGGTAAATAAATGACCAGGCCCTACTTATTTTATAGGCTTTCAAAATCTCACAAGGAATCAACGGTAAACAATATGGTAAGTTTGATTCATTTCTGTTATATTTAGTATTGAAGTTGGTCACCAAGTCTATGTAGGGTACGTGCTTTTCTCAAGTGGCAAAATTCACAATGAAACATGAGAAAATAAATTACTTTTTAAAGGGGAAGTAGCGTTATACACAATTGTTACATTCACAAATGCCATTTCTATCTATGCAAACATATTGTAGATAACTAGTATCCTGAAATTAGTAGAATGTACACCATCACAAAGCTATTGCTATTGAGCTATTGGCCATAACATGTGTGCTTGTAGGCTAGCCCTTGATCTTGACTTTTAGTTCCATTATATTACACATAAGAGTCATTGGACGAAGGCGTCTTCTGTAGGGGGGAGTTTTGTTAAGAACCCCGATCCTCGGTCAGAACAATAACACGCATTGCTTGCAGTACGTTTCTGGAAGCATAAGGACCTTATCGTTCATATCAGCAAGAAATAACTTTTTTTAAAAACGAAAGGTTAAATTGATACACACCTTTATAGGGTTAGGGTTAGTGTTCCCACACAGCCACATCTCCATGTTACAGTGTGTGTTTACGGGAAAGACAGACGGAAGACAGAGGGACCACCTGTGCTAATTAGCTATCTAGCATGCTCCGAATACCTGTGTGTAACGGAAGAAGGCCGCCAGAAACGTGTTGTCACCTGAAAAATACTGTCGGCTGAAACCGTGATAAAACGGTGTACAGTAAGTGTGTATTTTGCATCTGTGAAATTATTTTGATGCGATATGAAAGTGAAAGGGCATTACGTATCTAGAACCGTATCGCAAATTGATAATCGATTCACGTTTAGATGGAGTATTAGGCTGTTTTGTCTACCAGAGCCGGTCTACCTCTGAAAATAACATATAAGGTCCTTGGACTTTAAGGAGTAACGGTAGGGTCCTTAAGAGTACATCTCGGGTTACTTGTAGACCTACTCCACACAGAGGAGGCTGGTGGCCGTTCCATCTACTCCATTCCAGCCATTACAATGAGCCTGTCCTCCTATAGCTCCTCCCACCAGCCTCCACTGACTCCACGGTTAGTTAGACATCTCATCATTAATCATTAGTCTTTCGTTAGTCTGTCGTTATATTTCCATCCTCACACGTTTGTACTTTCTACTTACAGGCTGCTACCACCTGCTGGTTACAGTTGGCATCGTTGTTCCTGTGTCACTTCCTGGCCGTAAATACCTCATGTACATGGATGCCAAGGCAGTTTCCATGTGACATTAAGGTGGTCAATACTACCAATACCACTGACGACATCATCTTCAATTGTGAGGATCGTCGACTGATAAAGGTACCTGTTGGCATCACCAGGAATGTGACCGTGCTGGACCTATCAGAAAACAACATCCAGAATGTATCTCTTGATGCATTTTCTAATCTGGAGAACTTGACCATTCTCAATCTCAACTGGGTCAACAAAAACCAGAAAAGTCACATTGCCGAAGGTGCCTTCAAAAATCTGACAAACCTGCAGGTCCTAAAGCTTAATGGCAATGGCCTCATCGGAATTCCACAAAACCTTCCACTCAGCCTGGAGATCCTCACGCTGGACAATAACAAGATCAATTTCTTGAATATGAGCAACCTCTCTGGTATAACACATGTGAAGAAGCTCTTCTTATCCAAAAACTGCTTCTACTGGAATCCTTGTGAGAATAATTTTACTATTGGAAACGGCACATTCTCACCATTGATTCACTTAGAGGTTTTGTCGTTGGCCTATAACAATTTAACTCAAGTTCCAAAAGAACTTCCAAGCTCTTTAAAAACATTATTACTTGAATCGAACAAGATACAGTACATCGCTAAGGATGATTTCCATGGACTAACCCATCTAGAAATCCTTGAATTACAGGGAAACTGTCCACGATGCTCCAATGCTCCATATCCGTGTGTCCCCTGTCCAAATGGTTTTCTAGATATTCATTCTCATGCATTTCATGGCCTTACAGAGTTACAGACACTGCGCCTAGCAGGGAACTCACTCCGTTTCATCAAGAACTCCTGGTTTGAGAGTTTAAACAATCTTAAACAGCTGTTCCTCTCCTATAATTTCTTGTCTAAGGCTATGACTGAAGGAGATTTTTTTTGCTATCTACCAAAGCTAGAAGTTATGGATTTTTCATTCAATTATGATTTGTTAGTCTACCCTGACACCCTATTGCTTTCAAGACAGTTTTCTAAATTGGTGTCACTTAGAACATTGCATATAGCAGGTTATGTTTTTAAAGAAATCGAGTCAGATACCCTCAGCCCTCTTCATCATCTAAAAAATCTGTCAGCGTTGAACATGGGAATTAATTTCATTGTTCGCTCTAATTCTACCATATTCAGCAAATTCTCACACTTGAAACTAATATACCTCGGAGAAAATAGGCTGTATCCAGTTTCAGTGAGCGATTCCCCAGGCCGTGTCTTAGGAAGCAATTCAAAGCCAACGCTGCACAAGTCACCACTCACTGGTCACTATTCACATTCAAAGGACTTTTCCTTTGAGTTAAAACATGGCCTTGTGAAGCAAGAGTGCTTTGACTCCGGTCGAGTGCTGGTCCTCAGTTCAAACAATATCTTCTTCATTTCTCCAAAGCAATTTGAGGGCTATGGTGACATTGCATGTCTGAACCTATCAAGAAATGGATTTTCTGCAGCACTGAATGGGACAGAGTTCACGTCGTTACCAACCCTAAAATATCTGGACCTGTCCTTTAACAAGATTGACCTGGCCTATAACAATGCATTTAAGGAATTACACAAACTACAAGTATTAGACCTAAGCTACAACAGTCACTACTTTGAGGTGTCTGGTGTGACACATAATTTAAATTTTTTGACAAATCTACCGGCTTTGAAAGTACTGAATATGTCACACAATAACATTTTTACCTTAACAACTAAGCAGATGACAAGTGCATCTTTGAAAGAGCTTCAATTTCAACACAATTGGTTGGCCATATTATGGAAAGAGAGGGACAACTCATACAACAGCCTTTTTAAAAACCTGATGAATTTGACCTATCTGGATATATCATTCAACAGCATTGAGAAGATTCCATCAACAGTCTATGAAAACTTACCATACACCCTTCAAAAACTATGCATTAGTCATAATTTACTCACACATTTTAATTGGGATAAACTGGCTAGTTTCCAACAACTGAATACCCTGGATCTAAGCTATAATTATTTATATCACGTGTCAGCAAATCTCTCAAAATTCACAAATGCACTTCAGATGCTTGACTTGAGCCACAATCAGATTGCTCAACTCTCTGATGGATTTCTTAAGGGTGTTCGAAACCTTCAGATACTTGACCTCAGCCACAACCAACTGACCATCATCAACGAGACCACCTTCCTATCGGGCCCTGAGAACTACGTGAAAACCTTGTCCTTGCAAGGTAATCCATTCCAGTGTACCTGTGACTTATTAGAGTTCATCCTGTGGATTGAGGAGAACAAAGACGTGGAGATCCCCAGACTGGCCACTGAGTTGATCTGCAACATGCCAGCCAAAACGAGAGGCCAACCAGTGATACGGTTTGACATTAAAGAATGCGTCAACGACAACATAGCCTTCCTGATCTACTCCCTCTCCACTTCCTTGATCATGCTCACCATGGTCATGACCATGGCAACTCATATGTTTTATTGGGATGCTTCCTATATTCTATACTACCTGAGGGCGAAGCTGAAGGGCTATCATTCCTTGAGGTCCGCAACAACAGACAATCTCTATGATGCCTTTGTTACCTACGACACCAGAGACCTGTTGGTGTCAGACTGGGTCCTGAACCACCTGCGGATGCAGCTGGAGGACAGTGGGGAGAGACACCTGCCTCTCTGTCTGGAGGAGCGAGACTGGGCCCCGGGGGTCCCACTGATAGACAACCTCTCCCAGAGCATCCGACAGAGCCGCAAGACCGTCTTCGTGCTGACCGAGGCCTACGTCAGGACCGGGACCTTCAGGATGGCCGTGTATCTGGCCCACCAGAGGCTGCTGGATGAGAACATGGACGTGATCGTGCTGGTTCTCCTGGAGCCTGTACTGCAGCACTCTCACTTCCTCCGTCTGCGGCGGCGTCTGTGTGGGAAGAGTGTTCTGGAGTGGCCCCGGACTGCAGCCGCAGAGCCCTGGTTCTGGCAGAGCCTGAGGAACGCTGTCAGGTTAGACAACCAGGTGATGTACAACCAGATCTACTCCAGGTACTTCACCAACAAGTAGAGCACAGACCAGACCAGAGACTCAAGAGGGAGGTTGCTTTCTCACACAAATAGACTGAGCAGTTAAACACAACAACTGCAATCCCTTTTACAAGCTCTGAATCTTGACTATATAATTTTGTCTAATCCTGCACTGAACAATATGGATGATACTGTACATCTGAAACAATATGTAAATCAATGTTCTATTCATTGCTTTAATGCCGAGCACTATGGCCCCCAGTTATTATACTATAATATCTCAGTTTTTCAGTTTTATGTGATAATAATATGTCATTTAGCAGACGCTTTTATCCAAAGCGACTTACAGTCATGCATGCATACATTTTTTGTGTATGGGTGGTCCTGGGGATCGAACCCACTACCCTGGCGTTACAAGCGCCGTGCTCTACCAGTTGAGCTACAGAGAACAACATTGTTATCTATGGTTAGTGGGGTGGTTCTAATGAAATATAAACTGTATTTGCAAAGGTTTCTGCCAATGTGTTCAAACTTTATGCCATTTGTAAGTATACATATCTGATTCTTTTTTACAGAATTGATAAAAAAATATATTTCTTGGAGCAGTCAGTCTGTGAGCATCTGTCTTTATGGGATAACAGTCAAGTTCCTGTTTCGTTAGGCTCAGATGGGGGGGATGTGAATCTGTGGCTATGGTGTCAGCTGTTCAGTGGTACTTATGGTATGTGACAATAAAACGTTTTTTTTTATTAAACTATCCTCCGGTAATTGAATTTAACTGAAATTGTTACAACTCACTATTTTATTCTATTAATGATCATTTCAAAAGATCACAAATTAAAAACATTGTATCGGGAATCTCTTTGAACTACACAGACAGTCACAGCATCCAGGTGCCTTATGATCATGGAAAATGCATTATCTAAATGTAATCAATGACGTAGGAATCAACAAGTAGTCCTACTATGTTTCTGATGCAAGCCAATGAAGCCAGTGTTACCATCTGATGTAATACTGTGTAAATCCACAGGATGTCGGTATTGACTCAATGACGAAGAGTTACCGGGGACAGTGGACTGGTTTGGGTTGGCAGCAATGCTCTGAAAGGGTGCCCAAAATCACATCAGATAAAAATTCGTTGTCCAATAAGTTAAACAAATAAAACCATAACTATTTTTATGCTCTCTCTCGCTTGTAAAGATTACGTAATATATATTTTTCCCGACCAAGTTGTGCTCGAGAGTGAAGGGACGTGACGTCATGCTAAAAATTAGCATATTGCGGAGTATAATAGACTTTGATTGATTTGCGCGCCTTCACTCGTGCTCTACGCCATCGGGATTGAGACGCATCTGTATCCAGTACACATCCGGTGAGTGCGCAAACAAATTATAAATTCTCATAAGGCCTACATAGCCTGTTTAACCAACTGACTTTACAGCCATGTAATATGTTCTGTCGTGTAGGTTATACTAGGCTACAAATGGTCCAACCGCTGCAATAGCCTAGTGCATAAAAGCCTAATCAATAAATGATGCTCACTTAATGTATTTCTAGATGTTGGTAAAGCCCTATTCAATAGCGTGTAATTGTTCCTTCTCTCATTTCAAGTGCGTACCGTAGTAGTCTGTCGGGTTCTTTGAGTGGAACGTACCTATCAATATGTAGTGTGGATCTTTTAATGTAGGCTACAATGTTGCGTAAAAATGTTTTAATGGCTTGATTTAGGATGTGCTACAATGTCAATATGACAAAGCAAGTGTCGGAAGGTCGACGCCACTAGTTAGCTTCAACCTGTTTTGCGATGCTGCCAAGCAGGGCGGTGGTTGTTCTGCCTGCAGAAGGCTCTCAGAATGGAACAATGCTTTTCTCAAGGTGTTGTCGCCAATAATGAGATCACGTGCTCGTGGAATAAACGGCCTGAATAATGCAATTTACGTTTTGTAAATCTAGACTAATACTTGACTAGGTTGCATATATACTCGAATTAGATGTGGGCTGCTTGCCCTGCCCTACAGGGAGAGAATGAGAGCATTTTATTCCCCATGTGCTGTGGGGGATTGTGCTCTTTGTCTGCTTTTTGGGTTTGGTTCGCATGTATGGGCCTATTGAGATTAACTTTTTGACGGAAGCTGTGTGAAAGGCCTATGTTGTCATTGATTTTTCATATTTGCAAATGACTCTAATATCTTGAATAAACTGTCTTGCTGCTTTTTTAATTTGCGTTAACCTAAATGTCTTAATTGTTAGGTTTCATCTGCTCTTTGACCAGATCCTCTGCGAACATGTCTGACAAGCCAGATCTTGCGGAAGTCTCCAACTTCGACAAGACCAAGTTGAAGAAGACCGAAACGCAGGAGAAGAACCCCTTGCCCACCAAAGAAAGTACGTTTTGTTAGGTTTATTCTACTTCAAATGCAGACTATCCCTTGTGAAATTGGTGTCTTACTGAAAAGTTGACAGTGCATACAAGCGTTGAAAACTAACACATTTTATCCCCTTCCTTGCAGCCATTGAACAGGAGAAGCAAGCAACAGCATGAAGTCCAAGCCTCCACTATGCACATTCCACGAGCATTGCCTTTTTTTTTCTCACCACTTCTAGCTGTATAACTAACCAAAACCTAAGTTGCATTGTGATTGGACAAAAGCAGATGACTGTACAGCCCCCTTCCCTAGAACCCCTCCCTTTTTTTGTTAAATCAAGTTTGAAAGGAAACAACTACGGACTGGCAGTCTGACTAGGAGGATGTGTTGATTGTCTCATCCTGACTCACTTCAGTGCTCTGTCACCTGTCCCTGCAGTGTCCCCGGCTTCCGGCCACTTGTGGTTGTGAAGGGAGGAGCAAGGGTGTGATGGATCAGCCCTACCAGGGACCCACACTTTAGATGTCCAGTGTTCAGCTTCTGGCCACCTGTGAAACGCTTTCAAATCAAGCAGTGTTTTTTGTTTGACTTGTTCAATTGTTTTGTATAAGTTCAATTCTTGGAATGCACAAGTTTGTTTTTGATATGCAATTAAAAAAAAAAAAAAATGATTTGTTTGGTATTTTAATTTTGAATATGCTTAAACTTGTTTCAAGTTTTTCACATTGTACACCTGTTGTACATCATGTTAATTACGACTCGGCACATTAGGCAAGTGTGTACCAAATCAATTGGGGCTATCCCTTTGGACTACTGGAATTGCTTTGTATACCTCTGAGTCACTGTTAATCAGAACCCAAGCAATGTGTGCCCAACTGCTGCAGTGTATTTGCAATTTAATCATATAACACCCCTATCCAGACCAATTTAGTTTTGTGCATTCATCTTAAGCTGGCTAGGTGAGAACCTATTTCAATTGTAAGTACATTTTTTCTTCTTATCAGCTAAGCTGGTGCTAGGAGGAAAAGACAAGTGCTATTTATTTTGTGTTGCCGGTGATGTGGCTTATAATAATAATATGCCATTTAGCAGACGCTTTTATCCAAAGCGACTTACAGTCATGCGTGCATACATTTTTACGTATGGGTGGTCCCGGGGATCGAACCCACTACCTTGGCGTTACAAGCGCCGTGCTTAGTGGTTAAGAGCGTTGTGGCAGTAACCGAAAGGTCGCTGGTTCTAATCCCCGAGCCGACTAGGTGAAAAATCTGTCGATGTGCCCTTGAGCAAGGCACTTAACCCTAATTGCTCATGTAAGTCGCTCTGGATAAGAGCGTCTGCTAAATGACCAATTATTATTATTATTATTACTCTACCAGCTGAGCGACAGAGGACTGACGCACTAGTGTGCTTTGGAACGCTAAGTGGATGACGAGACCTTGACACGGTCTGCAGCCTGGCACAGTGCACACAACTGGCCTACAAATGCACCCCACGGCAATCATCACTGCTAATGGCCTGCCTGCCCCAGCTAAACAATGAACCCTTTGGAGTTGGACTGGCAGCCACATTCTTAAAGTACTCCATTACTTACAGCTGGGCTGGAATTGGGACATATTACAACAGTCAAAATGGCTGTTCCCACAACATTACTTGCATAGCTTTAGTTGTACTGGATGTTTTCATTGAAAAGGTGACAATGATAACTTGTCTGAATACAACAATCCCTTCTCATCCAACAGGCCATTATCAGCATTTTGGCAATACATTCTCACTATAGTTAAAAAGTTTAGCCACCAATGGAGATGGCTTGGACACTACAGTACAGGTTTTACTAGTCATTTAAAACATCCCCATCCATATGATTTTAATACAGATATCAGTGGGTTTATGGTCCAGGTCGGGATAAGTGGATTGCTGTTAAACTGGTTAATCTTAATGACGTTAATCCCACTGAAAGCAGCTGAGATCTCCAGCCGAGTGTTTCTGATGTCCCCATTCTTCCTGGACACCATGGCCTCGTACCAGATTAATGAGGTCAGATCATGCTTATGCCACGTTCAAGACAACTCGGAAATATCCAACTTCAATCCGTTCAAAATAACTGGGAACTCGGAAATATCCAACTTCAGTTCGTTCAAAACAACTGTGAACTCGGAAATATCCAACTTCAGTCCGTTCAAGACAACTGGGAACTCGGGAATATCCAACTTCAGTCCATTCAAGACAACTGGGAACTCGGGAATATCCAACTTCAGTCCGTTCAAGACAACTGTGAACTCGGGAATATCCAACTTCAGTCCGTTCAAGACAACTGGGAACTCGGAAATATCCAACTTCAGTCCGTTCCAAACAACTGGGAACTCAGAAATATTTAACTTCAGTCCGTTCAAAACAACTGGGAACTCAGAAATATCCAACTTCAGTTCGTTCAAGACACCTGGGAACTCAGAAATATCCAACTTCAGTCCATTCAAGACAACTGGGAACTCGGGAATATCCGACTTCAGTCCGTTCAAGACAACTGGGAACTCCGGGGAAAAAAACGAGCTCTGACAGAAATCTTTTGAACGGTCATCGAACTCGGAAATCCAAGTCACAACCTCGGGCATCTTTCTAGAGCGCCGACTTTCCAACCTGAAGGTCACTGACGTCGTGATTTGACCTCTTCCCC